GAAGCACAAAGTCTTGGTTGTGGCAGTCTCATATACTGATGTATGTAGCTATTACATGAATCATTGCTGTCACAGAGCTTATGGGCTTTTAAGACAGTTGTCGGGAAGGAGTTGGGACATAATTTATATTACCGGTATGTCTGTTCGCTCTAATTGACCAGCTACCAGAACCATTTCTGAAGGCGTCTCTTAGGACTAAAGAAAAAAAGAAAAAAAAAAAAAAGAAACATAAAATATCTGAAAAAATGACAGGGGAAAATCTCTGTCACACTTTCCTTGTTCCATGCATAATTTTACAGCCAAACAATATACTTCTTTTACCCAATTAAAAATGAAACCCCTCAAAATATTAAGTTTATTTTGCAGATAGAACATAAATTTGCATAAATTTGTCCTTGGAGACAGTTGTGATTATTTTCAAAGCTAAATATAAAAACCTGTTGCTGTCACGTTCCCTGAAATGCAAGTCGAATAGACTATAATATATTATAGAGAGGAAAATCCATCATTTATCAGTTCAATTTTTTAATAAATGACACAAAAATAAATAAAAATTTAAGCTGTAGCTTCTTCTGGTGCCTAACTTCTATCTTCGAGTCTGAGATTTCTTTCATTAGTTTGTGGCTATATAGTATGGCAATTCATTTTGGCATCAATACCACTCCATAATACTGGGGGCACAATCAGAAGCATAAGGCTAAGCATTTATCATCAGTGTTTTATCTTTTTTATTTAAACAAACTTACCAGAGTTTGTTTTTGCAAATTTTCAAATTTCAAAAGTAATAATTATATTCTGCTGACTCTTTCCCTGATTACTCTAAATACTATAAAATTGATATGCAATGGCAGGATGTAAAATCAAAATAAATTTTGCTGTAGACATAAGCTAAAAAAAACATGTCTATATTTTTGGAAATCCGACCGCTAATTTCTAATGTTTTTTTCCCCAAAATTGTAAAAAAAAAACTTAGATTTAAAAATGTCTAGGGTATAAAAAGGTATAACAACAGCTCCACCCTTCCCACTATAAATATACTATATATCTTTGTATGAAAGAGTAGTATAAATAATTTAAATGCTATTGTTGCATTATATGCTATCAGTACTTTACCTTAGAGTATTACTAATTCATTGGTATTTTTTTTTGCATTACTAAGAGCACATTGGCGCTGGGTGCAGGAGTTTGCCTTGCAACCGAAGGGTTGTCGCTTCATGCCCTTGAGCTTTCAGTGTCATTGCGTCCTTGGGGAAGACACTTCATGTGCATTGATGGTGGTCAGAGGGACTGGTGGCGCCAGTGTATGGCAGCTTTGCTTCTGTCAGTTACCCCATGGGCAGCTGTGGCTACTATGTAGTTTGCCATCATCATTTTTTGTGTGAATGGGTGAATGACTGAATGTAGTGTAAAGTGCTTTGGTCAAGTCTCATCACTTGAAAAAGAGCTATGAAAGTACAGGCCATATACCATTTATGTACACTTACCTCCACTTCTTTAAACTTGTAGCACATCTAAAGTTAAATTAATCTTTGAATTTTTCTAACAATGTCCCCAACTGAATATGATAGAGAAAGATCGAAGGTGTTGAAGGTTTGTCCGACGGCAAGAACATCCACCTACCCGAAAGACTTGGAGCGCATCACCAAAAATAAATAGTCAAAACTAGAGAAAACATGCAAAAACTATTCAGTAAATGTGAGGGTTTAATAGCTGTGACTCAAATAAATATTGTTCCATAATGGGGAGTCACATCTGGTCTTAAATCGTCCTTAGAAAAAGCAAAAAGACCCATGTACGGAGGCCTTAGTCCTTCACGCAGGAACCCGGGTTCGAATCCAGCCTGTGGTCCTTTCCCACATGTTTCTCCCTCTCTCTCATACCCCCTTTCCTTTCAGCCTACTGTCGAAAAAACGAGCCACTAGTGCCGTAAAAAAAGTCACTTATTTGAACCTACAAAGGGCCTAATGACACAGCTCCTACCAAACTAAATGCTCTTGCGAATATTTTCATCTTGGTCACTCAGATTGTCAAAGTATAGTTAGATAGCAGTGCCTTCATCATGATTATGAAAGTATAGACCACGTTAATTTGACCTTGAAGGCTGTCAAAACATGGGCCTACCTGTCTGTCTTTAAAAAACTCCTGAGGTCTCCTCTCTTCATAGAGCATCTGGTACCCTAGCACCTATCTTGTTCATTCTAAGCCTCTTTACTGCCCTCTCTGGATGCACTTTTCTTTATGCCTGCACTAGGTTTCTACACTGTCACCCCTGTTACCACTAACAGAATCCGTCAATAGATCTTCTTTCTCAGCAGCTTATTATTAGCTTTAATGTTGACTCTTCATTTATAAGTTAGTTTTATTAAAGGCCTCTGATAAATACACAGGCATAACGCTCTGCAACTACTACTACATTAGGATAAGTAGAAAATATTTCTTATTGTCATATGAAAAGATAGCAAATAAAATCTAATACTTGGAAGACTGTGCTTTATGTTCTCTTCTGATTTACTCTTAAATCCTTCATAGAGTTAATGTTTGAGTCCCTCTGAAAATAGGTAAAAAAATCTCAGTCATTTTAAAAAGACAACCTTTATGTGCTTTTTGTGTCTTTTTGTTGACTCTGTGGTCTGTTGTGGTAGCCAGCAGCTGGGGCGTGGTGGACTTGCTATGTATCTTGGCAGAGTTACAAGCTAGGCTCGGATTTTGTGTTGTGGTTGATTGGTAGAGCCTGTTGGGGAACTGAGAGACAGACTGTGTTTGTGCTAAAGGGAAAAAAAGAGAGGGAAATGGGGAAAAGGCAGGGGTGTGTGTTTGTGTTAGTTGGGTGTGTCAGGTGGTTAGCCAGAAGGTGTATGTGTGTCATTGTCTCATTTGAAGTCGGAGACCATCGTCCCCTTTCCTGTAAGTTGTTAATTCTAGCCAGACGGTGAATCTTGACTTCACAATAGGAAAACTACACACTACACTTCTTTTTTAACCATTTTTGCTCACTAAAAGGGAAAATGTTTATAAAACTGTTTATGTGTTGCTGTGGTGTCCTGTGTGGTGGGGCCATTGAAATGAACCAGGCTGCATTAACTATTCAATAGAGCAGGGTTTCCCTATGACAGCCTCTCTTGCTTGGCTGATTTCTGATAGACAATCTCATCTCTCATATCCCTGGAAGAGCGTCTTTGAAACACTTGAGTGTGTTTTTTTGTACACTTGGATATAACTAATGGGAAGATAGGATGCAGGTACTTCATTGTCTTTCTGTCCGCATTGATCAAGTTGCTTGATATGCAACCTGGTCATGTTAGTGTGTATGATAAGGTCTGTGTTGTATTTTTTTTCAATTAATTTGTGAGTTTATAGAGTAACCCACTGGGTACTGATAGGGAGTCCCCTCTTTGGAATGGCCCCACCTCTTCAGCCAGGCCAACAATTCACTTTAACGACCCCCTTTCAGAGACATAGACAGGTATGGGGCATTGCAGGCTAACAAAAGGAGCAAAACGACCCCCGTTCCAAATGTTGATGGAGATGGAGAATTTAACATCTGCCTTTTTTCGTTTGAAATTAGCATTGCTTTCTGATTTTAAAGTTTTCTATTAGTAATCTGATTTGAAATTGCAAAACTTTGAAAGTCTTGTTTTAACTCTGGTCTTCCACAAATGTTTGTAATCAAAGTTTAATAAGTAAAAGGCCTGCTTTGAGATTAGCATCAACCATTTTCATGTCCAGCTCCACAGCATGTACTGGTACTAATGTAACAGTTGTCTCAAATTCCTGTCCTTCAGGGCCGGAGTCCTGTAACTTTTAGGTGCAACTTTGCTTCAATAGACTTGATTCCAATATGAGCTTATTAGCAGAGCTGTGTCCGTTTACTGCATGCTAGTGAAGTAGTTCAGCAACTATGAGTGCATTGAAGTTTATAGGGATGCTTTAAAAGACTCAAAAAACGAAGATTGTGTTTTTTGCTTTTTTTTATTTTATTTTTGTTCCAGAATTTGATTTTAAAGCAGGTAAAAGATTTAGTGAGTTTTTGTTTACATAGAAGTAATATTTGGGATTATGTTGGATTTTGAATAACCTGAGGAAACTAGTTTGTTAAGAAGTTTTTAAGCAATCATATTCATTGACATGCAGTCATTCAGAAAGAAAACCTCATCTCTCATAAGAAAGTCAACAGTTCTCGAACAGAATTAAAGCAATGGGATTAAAAGTTTCTTTTATATGGATTCCTTGACACATAGGAATAAAAGGGATTTACCTTGCAGATAAATATACTGAATAAGCTACAAAATCCAGTCAAAATTACACATTAATACCATGTCGTTTAGGAGAAATGAAAAGAGTAATTAAGCAGAAGATCTGAGGGAGTTGGCAGGGAAAGTGGGAAGTAGAAAGAACCGGAAGATGGCTTTATAACATTCAAATAAAAAGTAGATATGTGGGGGAAATCGGAAGAGATAAACAAAAAAATAAATCATATCCAGGTTTAGTTTCAGCCATTTAGGGCTAAACAATACTTTATTTAAATTAGGGAAACATGCTATGAGGAAATATAATTTTTGGTTTCAAGAAGAATCAGTTGAACATGTTTGATTGTTTGCAGTAAATATGTAGTACAGTGATGAATTAACTGGTAGGTAAATTACACAACTTTAAGCTACAAATCAAATAAAAGACTCTATATCAGTGTTTTATGCCCATGAAAACAAACAAAAATAAAAGAAACAAACAATAAAAAAAGTTATTTGGCCTAATTTCTGGAACACATTTGAAGGAGATGAAGTTCAGAATTGAACATCTGAATAAGCCATGCTTTGTTGTTTTTAAATTTGCTGTTAGCGATTTGATTCAAAATTGTTGAATTTTGCTTGAAACTTATTTGAACTCTGGTCTTGCGCAGATCTTGTCAATAGGTTTTTGTCTATAAAAATGATAGCAAAACTGAATGACTTTACTTGCAATGAATATGTATGTTAATATAAGTTTCTTTTTTTCTGTTGTAGTTCCCTGAATGTGGATTTTATGGCATTTATGACAAGATTCTGCTGTTCAAGCATGACACAACCACCAACAACATCCTCCAAATGGTTAAATCTACAAGTGACATTCAGGAGGGAGATTTGGTGGAAGTGGTGCTTTCAGGTGAGTCTTCAAAGAATTACAACACATGATAGCCATCTTTTTATCTTTCAATCCTGTCCAGACCAAGACACCATACTTTATTTTAATAGAAATAAAATCAAATCCTCTTTCCAATTAGGTTCTAACCTAATATTTCAAATCTGTATGATTTGTTTAGCATCACTCACAGTTACCATACTGTTAATCTCTTTTAGCGGCAGCAACATTTGAGGATTTCCAGATTCGGCCCCATGCACTCAATGTGCACTCTTACAGAGCCCCGGCCTTCTGTGATCACTGTGGAGAGATGTTGTTTGGACTGGTCAGACAAGGCCTGAAGTGTGACGGTGAGTGAATTAGAAAATATAGATGAGGCATAAACACTTCTTTGTGAAATGATCTATTATACATCATCACATGCTCTGCTTACCTGATTCTTTTATCTATGCCTCCCTCTGCAGGATGTGGGCTGAACTACCACAAACGTTGTGCATTCAGCATCCCCAATAACTGCAGTGGAGCTCGGAAGAGACGCCTATCTACCACCTCACTCAGTAGCAGTCAGTCCCTGCGTCTCTCCACTTCTGAGTCCGTCTACAGTGTGGGGACCACCTCCACCAGCTCAGAAGACACCAGTTTAATTCGCTCCCACACACAAATGGTAATTCATGCTGCTATAATAAATAGGTTTAAGCCTAGCGATGGGTCATATTTCTCTTTATCATGTCAAGAGTATTTGAAAAATTAGTGTAATCCTTATACATTTTGTTAGTTGATTTTTTTGCATCAATATTATTTAGTTGAAGATAATATTCATGTAGATACTGTATAAAAGCCAATTTTTCTGAATATATTAACAAGCCTTAAAATGTTTTTACTCTAAATCTATTCATGCCAAAGGAATTAAGTGTTTTGGAGATTATAAGATATCCATCTAAAAAACTTTAAAACAACCTGCAGAACTACATTCCATCAGTAGTCCTGTATAGTCCCAGTTATCTATGCACATGTGAAAAATTTCCATTCATCTAGTTATTCCTTTTTCCTACCATTTTTTAATGTAGTTATGACATAAAAGTAGATTAATCAGTTTTTGACTTATCAAAATGTTTCCTTTTTTTCTGGGCTTTTATCTGTTTGGATCACCATTTCACCTCCCAACTAGCACATTTTCAGTGCTTTTCCACTCACATATATATTTTTCATTCTATTTAAGTTTTAACATTTAACAGGAATATCCAATTTATCAGGACTGCAAAACATAGATAAACAGTTCGTTTACACTTCTCAAAAATTTTAATTACTCTCCCACTTTGTTAAAAGGAGAGACATTAGGGTATGGTCAATACAATTATAATGGTTTAACTTATTTTAAAAGCACTCTTTCTTTACTCCTCTTTTTATCATTTGTCCATGTTGTTGTCCATGACTCTCTGTTGTATTCGGTAAAAGTAACTGCCTTGGTAACTGTGCTTGTAAATTGAAAATATCTACAGTAGTTGTTGATTTTTTCAGAAAGTTTGGTGTGATGTAAAATCAATACTCACAATTTTAGATATAAATGGAAATTCTCAAAAGCAGCTGATTCATTTGCATTTACCAAATGAAAATGACCAAAATCTTGGAACAACATTCAAATGAGTCAAAGTAACACTGTGGAAATAAAGTGTCAGACTAAGGACTAGGGTTTGAATTTCATAGATTTGAAATGAAAAACAAAAAAATGGATGAAGTTTTTTAACATAATACATTTTTAAGAATCTGATGATAGTTAATATCATTTGTTGAGTCTATAAAAAAAAAACATCATTATGGTTTTAAATATATCCATTTTACTTCCTCATGCCAAAAGCAGATAATAATATTCTTCTTTTTTTCCATTGGAGTAAATCCTCACCACAATGTTATTTCCTTCTTGATTATTCAAGCCAAGAACTCCTAGTGAGGCACGGCGTTTCTACACGGGGCGACCTGTTCACCTGGACAAGATCCTGATGACGAAGGTGAAGGTGCCCCACACGTTTGCAGTTCACTCGTACACACGGCCAACAGTGTGCCAGTACTGCAAGAGACTTCTCAGGGGATTGTTTAGGCAGGGTCTACAGTGCAAAGGTGAGTGCAGACAAAGAGGGAATTGTTTTTATCATCTTATATTATTTTTGATATGTTAGATAACATATCATATAACTTAACTGGAATCAACCTTTTCTTGCATTCCTTCTAGATTGTAAATTCAACTGTCATAAACGCTGTGCATACAAGGTTCCTAATGACTGCCTTGGTGAGACCATTGGAGGTGAGGGCAGATATAAATCCTCTGGCTGATGTTTTTTATATCCTTGTCTTCTGTGTAACCTAGAATGGATCTAAGGGTATAGTGGAGGATGTTCTTTTTCCAGGTAGATCATCAAAATAAGAGGTCCTCCTATTTGTCAATCATTCTGGTGTTTACGTAAGGCCATCCTATGTGCCTGTTGAAAATGTTCTTTTTTAAAGAAAGCTTGCATGAGCGATGCAAACAGCAACTTTTAAACAGAGTGTGCAAAAGGAGAATTGGGCTTGTGCATGCTTTCCCACGCATTTAATAGGCGTTCCCTCTAGGGAGCGGGTACAGGGTTGTGCATATGCATTTTTTTAAAGAATGCGCAGGTTTTTTTGCAAAAATCCTCCACAATACCTTTAATGAAACATGAAAGTTTTCTTTGTCAAAACTAATAATCATACACTCCATATTTTATATTGTGCACATTATGTATTGTTTTCATAACACTAAAACTCATTGGCACTAATCTTTTTATCTCTTCAGACAACAGAAGTAACTGTGGTAAGTATTATCAATGCTCAGTGTAGCTGTTTGTAAAGCTTTGCTTTCCTCTTAATATTTAGCCCATTTTGCTATTTCTCCCTCTATAATTGGGTGTGTTCAGGGGCAACTGTATGGCTTAAAAGGTGGCGAGCAGTTGTAGTTTTTTTAGTTTTTAAACAGATGTTTCTTAATCAAATTGAACTCAGCTTCCATTTGTTCTTTGTTCTTGCATTAGACATGCTGAGTCCCAGTGCAGACACTGAAGTGCCCATGGACTTCAGCAGCGAGTATGACAACTCGGACAAGTCTTCAATGGATGACTCAGATGAGGCCTGTAGTATCCCTGGGTCATTCTCTCCAGACAACAACCAGGATGGAACAGGTGGAGACCAGAGGTATGAGGAGATTTTAGAGTGGTGTCCAAACCATGAGAATGAATGTATGTTTGAAATTAATGGTAAATAAATCGCTTTATTACAAAGATTTATTAACAACAAATGTCAATCAAATATTTCATTTATACATGTAAAATGGGCTGACATTTGCAGAAAATAAAATTTCTATATTTCTCTATTCTAAGCAACATAAACCTGATATTTTCACAGTTTTTTTAAATGAAGGGATGAAGTATTTAATCAAATATTTGCCCAAATTTTCAAATTGCATTCGATGACTTGTTATGCTCCCACAGGTCATTCTAGTGTCAAGTTTAACCTGACAAGGCAGACTGATAATGTGGAGTCATCACATTGCTAATCTGGGACAGCTGCTGTAGAATCTGATGGGGCGAAATGCCTCTTTGTGCCCATCTACCAAAAATAGGGTTTAGCCAATCACTGTCAAAAAATGAAAGGGCAGAAACAAGAAGAAACTAAAACGACTTAGTAGTTAATAGTATGCTGTTGGTGTTGCTCTTTTAAAGATGAAATCATGGATTATGACCAATGGATGTGATGGCAGCATATTCTGTATGTGTATGTTCTCCTGTGCTGCTGTGTTAGTTTTAGTCTGGCTGTGGGCTCAGCAACTCTGAGCTTATTGGCTAACCTGTTTTGGGTCAGTCTTAAACAGTTCATGAAGCAGGACAGGATTAATATTCCTGTGTTTGTGAATGCAAAAATATCTTGATTATTCAGCTTGCAGGCAATATTAGTTACATTTACCTTTGGAAAGCAATTTGAGATAGAAGGATATATAGGATTTATCAGAGAATCCCACTTTCTCTGGGGAGTTGTGGCCTACTGGTTAGGGCATAGAGCTTGGAATCCTGAGGTTCTGAGCCCCACTCCCACAGACTGCTACTCTGGCTCTCTGAGCAAGACCCTTAACCACCAATTGCTCCCCTGAAGCCCCACAATGGCAGCCCACTGCTCCCCAAGGGGATGGTTTAAATGCAGAGGTAAATTTCTCCAATGTGGGATCAATAAAGTTAAATTATTATTATTCCATTGCTAAGTGATCAATGTACACTTTGTTGGCTGTAGTCGGGTGTCAGGATCACCTTGACTTGTCTGCCTCTGAATTATGAGTTACATTATCTTATCTTTTGAACCTAAACAGCTCCTCACTTGCTGAATTAACTTGCATCATGAAACCTACATCATGACCCTTTTGCTGGTTCATCCTTCCCCCTTTTCTTTGGATAGTTTTGACAGATTTCGTTCTGCTCTTTGGAGACCTGTAACTGGAGATCTAGCTATCCCACTTCAGCCTCATCAATCTTGATCAAATTCTTACATTTTTCTGTTTCTAACTTTTCACAATTAACTAATAAAAGAGCTTGTCATTGATTTTCATATCACCAGTCTGCTCATAATACCATTCCTGCCTGGTGCCATATATCTGTAATACGTTTTTAAAATCTCCCTGAATGTGGTATTGAAAATCTCTATTGCAATGTGACCTAAAAGCTAATTAGTTAGCAAAAATGAGACTAGTTGATAATGATTAAACTGTATGTCTCAGAGAATGTTGATTTGGTTTTTAATCGTGCATTTTGGATTATCTGGCAGAACCTAATCTCATATTATGACACATGCAATAATTGATTTACTGTTGAACTCAAACTCATGTTGACCTTTTCAAATCCTGAATTTAATTATTTTTTTATTTCCTAGTGCTAATATTCCACTGATGAGGGTGGTTCAGTCAGTGAGGCAAACAACTCGACGTTCCAGCACAGCTATTAAGGAAGGATGGATGGTTCACTACAGTAACAAGGACACTCTGGTAAATATCCTGTAGTTCCTCTACATGTCTGTGAATTTAAAACCTTAAAGACTCCTCCTCATAGAAATGAATGAAAACCATCAAAACAAATTCATATGGATGAATAAATTGGACTTTTACAACATTTTTTAAAAATAAATTACTGTAATATTGCATGTGTTTGCTTTCCTCATACTCAAAAAAAGAAGAAAACTGCTAATAGTATATGCTTTCCTCTTAGTGTTTTTTTTCTTACAGCAGTTATGACCTTGATGACTTGGTCTCTGTCTTTATTACTTTTTTATTCTATATTAAATTTTGCTAGTGTGTTTGTATGTGTGTATGAGGAAAATTGAAGATAGTTGATTCTTTCTATCTACTTTAAAGCACTCAGCAAATATGTGGTGAATTCAGTCTAAAATGTCTTCTAATGTGTAAAAGCTTCCTTTGACCTTTTAAAGAAATGTATTTTCCTCTGTATGCTTTCAGACTGCTTCCTCTCTGGCTGCACTAACACTCTTCTTTTCTTCTTTTACTTGTTCTCTTGTTTAACTTATTTTTATTTTTACCCTTGCATCCTGTAGCTTATTTGTTGTGTTGCCTTCTGTGACCTTTTCAAATCAATAGTCATCCATTTTTACACATATCTTCAAAAATATTTTCATTCTTGTCCTTTTGCCCATCATGCACCTTGGTTTTGTGTCTTATGTTTGTTGTCACATCCTCTCCAACCCTAATTTTCAACAGAGGAAGAGGCACTACTGGCGTCTGGACTGTAAGTGCATCATCCTGTTCCAGAATAACACCTCAAACAAATACTACAAGGTAGAGTATGGGATGTTTCTACAGTAAGAATCTATTTGGTTTGTAGATTTTTGTTCCTCACCAATCCATCCATGTTCCTTCAGGAGATCCCCCTCTCTGAGATTCTGGAGGTGCGTCCTGCTACCAATTTTACCCTAGTGCCGCAAGGCACCAATCCCCACTGCTTTGAGCTCGTTACAGGCACCATGTGCTACTTTGTTGGGGAGGACCCCAATACCCTTCCACCCCTGTCCACCAGCAACCCCCAGACCCTTCCCCAGACCCCCCCGTCACCCAGTATGGTGCAACCCAACAGTGGTATTGGGCGGGAGGTGGCAAACGCGTGGGAGTGTGCCATTCGCCAGGCACTCATGCCAGTCATCTTTCAGGATGCGCCTCCGGCTGAGGGAAACACTCCACACAGTAAGCTTAAAAACACTTTTAAAGGGGCATAATCAGGTTATATGCCTATACAACAAAATTCAAAAACCATTTGACCATGATAAAATCAGTTTGTTTAGATGAAGTGTCTGTCCTGATTATCTTTTGAGTCCTTTTTGAGCTTTTAAAAGACTTCCATAGAGTAGACATGAGGAGACCTGATTGTGCCATCAGCCAGCAGTGCTTAATTATTATGTTTACTCCTGCATCCATCACCTCTACAGCAGCCTCCCCAGCTTTCACTCACACTTAGATTTATGAAAATGTTCATACTGTATCCCAAGTGTGAAGCAAGCCTCATCCCCCCATGGGAAATTTTTTTAGTGCTCTTTTTTCACATTGGACCTTAACGTGCTTAGCCCCATCACTTTCTAATTCACCCTCTGCACACATGCAAAGTATTGTACCTCTGGACACTTGATGTTGTTATCATAGATATCTAGAAAGGCTTGATTCACTACCAAAATTAGCAAAGAAAGAAAGCATAAAATACAAAAATAGTAAAAATATGCCAGCTGTACATGTTATGGAACCCGAGTGAGCTATCGGTGTATAAAAAAAAAGGTCATATAATGTGACTATGCTCCTTTAAACAGAATATTAGTGCTTAAATGAAGCTTGTTAATAAAGATATTTATTTTCAATTTGGTGCGTCACATACAGTATGGTAGTATAGGAAAATGTTATAATGATATTAAATAATATTCACATTCATGTTTTGCTACATATATAACTTGTAACTTTTGATGTTGTTTTAGGACAAGCTTCTATCAGCATTTCCGTGTCCAATAGTCAAATCCAGGAAAATGTGGTAAGACTTTATTTTTCTGATTTCCTCTGGTCTATTTTTTGTTAACCATGCAGTATTTTCCCTTTAAGAAACAATTCTCTCTTGCAGGACATTGGTACAGTATACCAGATTTTTGCTGATGAAGTGCTTGGATCTGGGCAGTTTGGAATAGTTTATGGAGGTATGTAAGCATATGTGCCGTAGTTATCAACTCATAGGTAGTTGTGTCACATATAAAGAATAAAATGTTACATACTAACAAATATAGTGTTGCACCTTTGGTTTGGCACATAGCAAAAACTAACTTAAGTTCAAGGACTTTACTGTGGCAGAACATTGCTTTACAATAATTGTAATGTTAATAAAAATATATATTTTTTAGGAAAGCACCGAAAGACAGGAAGGGACGTTGCTGTAAAGGTAATTGACAAACTTCGATTTCCAACCAAGCAAGAGAGTCAGCTGAGAAACGAAGTGGCCATTTTGCAAGTAAGGAGACATACACCATACTGATTAACCCATTTCTCTTAAATACAATAAGCTGTTAAGAACCATCTTTAAAGTAATGTTTTTTAAAGTAGAAACAGAACCTTCTTTTTGTGGTGTTTTGGCAATGGTCAAACTGCTGCGATCAGTCAAAACAAATGGTAGCACCATCTATCCCCCGAGTGAAGACATAGATTGGTCTCTCATCTTTAACCAGGGGTGGGTGGGGGCCATTATGGAGTGATCGCCTAGTGGTTAGAGCAGAGTGCTTGCTTTTTAGGAGGGCTGTAAAGTCCTGGTTCAGTCCCCTCAGACTGCCACTCTGCATCCCTGAGCAAGACCCTTAACCCCTGGTTGCTCTCTGGGTTCTTCTAGCTGCTCATTGCTGTTGTTTTTTTGATGGTGTTTTTTTTTTGTACATTTGATTTTAAATGCAGATAATCTAAGAACCGTACAAAACGAAGGTAATTCATAACCTAAATCCTATATGCGATGTGCAGGGAAAAGTTAATTGTAATAATGGGGGCAGTAGTCTTGTTGTAAAAAAAAAAAAAAAAAAAAAGGGGGATGATGGAAGTTTTTTCTTTTTTTGGAAGCATACATAGCCTTATTAATATAGTCTATTAACCTAAAGCAATATGCATGGTATGGTTGTTACATGTCAGGTAAGCCGGTCATTGACCTTGACCAAGGCACCTTTCAGTAGAACTGCATTTAGTCCCTGGACTGGCATGGCTATCACTGCCCTTACATAGTTTGGGACAAATGCAGAGAACTAATTTCCCAATTGGATCAGCTTCATAGTCATGGGAGGCCACTTCTTTGATTTTATTCATTTTGCTCAGGCTACTCCTAAGCCCACAGCCCGCCAAATGTTATTGCCTTTACTGTTTATATATAGTAGAACTTTTACACATACAGTAATAAAATGTCACAGGGGGATGATTTTAAGATTTTTCTTTAAGAAACGGGATGCCATCTCCCCTCCCACCTCAACTCGAGTACTGAATGAGGGTGACCAGCAGAGAGCACTGTTGGCTGGAGAAGCTGTAAAACTTTAAGCAAGCATGACATGCTTAATTATAACTTGTATCACTGCTCTAAATAAGATATATTATTTGAATAGATACTGGTGTAAAGATTGCCTTCTAAACTGACAGTTGTGCATGTTTGATTTCTGTGCTGTTTTGGTTTTATAAATGAAACTATTTTTCAGTCTGTTGGTCCATAATCTGACAAATTGAACATATAGAGAGACCAGAGTAGTGGGCTTAGCACATGCTCCTTGGGACCTCAGGGCTTAAGGTGTCCCTTATCAAGATGCAGGTGTCTGACGGAAGGATTTTGCTTTTTGGTAGCCAGTATGATGGTGTTGGGACTGAGCTCTATATTTATAAATAGCATTCTTGCTTGTTGGCTTCATTTCTTATCAGGATGTGTTTAGGGCTGTGACCACAGTGTCCTCTGCACTTGGTTGCTGTAGTCGAAGCTTGGAAATAGAGGTAATATATATGCTGTTGGTCACAGGGACCTGAGTTTCGAAAAGGAAGTAACAACACAAGGTGCTTGTCTGTCTTTAACTGTTCGGTTAGTCCTTCCTGTTATTACCGAAAGCTTGTAAAAGCACTGTCATTTGATTTCTGCTAACTCTATTCTCTTTGGATTGAATCCATATGCCAACTGATGACATCTAGATAGATTCTTTTAAACCAGCAGATGAAGGTGCTTTCACTATCAAAAGTTGTTTGAAGAACAGAGTTGTACTTGTTCACAAGTGAGTTTATCTAACTATAAACAAATAACCACAAATAATACAAAGCAGTCAGGTCTAAACTGTTTTAATGTGAGCAAATAACTAAATGATTTTAGTGTGCAGTCATATTCATTAAATCAAAAAAATTCAGTCTATAAGGGTCGATCACAGATTAAAACTACCTTTTTAAAATAACCACCTTTAAGGCAAAAAGGTAGCAAAAAGATACAATTGTAGGTTTTAAATTAATTTTACATTCTCTTTAAAAAAACTTTTAAAATTGTGTTGATATTATAATCTTAAATATTGTGGAGTTGAGGTCATTTGTTGAAAGTAAAAACGTCAACATTTACAGAAATTTACGTAAAGGCTCTAAAATGTACGCTTGCATGCAACTGATGTGACGTCTTTCACTTCTTTCTAACATATTCTTAATTCAAATGGTTTTGTTTCACATCGTAGTTCCTGTGGTTTATCGTCTCCTCCAGAATATGCATGTGAATATGACTTCCTGTTTTTGTACTTGTGGAGATCCTCCAAGTTACATAATTGAATATCTTAGCACTTCAAGTGAATTTTTTTCAATGATCATTTCTCAGATTCACTTACCTAAGTTTTTATCACACTTTCTGATCATGTCTCTGTTGCAAATAAGTTTGATCAAGCTGTTATGCTTATTTTTCTTCAGAGTTTGCGTCACCTGGGGATCGTTAACCTGGAGTGCATGTTTGAAACCCCAGAGAAAGTATTTGTGGTGATGGAGAAGCTGCATGGTGACATGCTAGAGATGATCCTTTCCAGCGAAAAGGGAAGGCTACCTGAGAGGTTAACTAAATTCCTCATAACACAGGTGTGTTGATGTCTCATTTGAGTAAAGACAGAATGCAAGTTTCAGATGATTTCATTTTAGGAAAAAGATACAATGGTTGAGAGGTGCAAGCACAATGCAAAAAATGCTTTAAACACAAAACAGTTGGAGTCGTAAACAAAAATATAGCAAACACATAAAACAGATGTAAAGGGAAAATGCTGTAAAGCCGGGCGTACACTGTGCGATTTTTCAGGGCGATTTTCCAGTCGTGCGATCGTGAGTGGTCTAGTGTACAGGGGGTTACGAGTGCCGATCAGCCTCTCACGACCACCTCCTGATCAGGAATCGTGAGGTTGGGAGAATATCAAAGGTTTGATTTTCTCCCGACCGTAGTGGGCAAATCGCTCAGTGCGCATGTGCAAACAAGGATTCTTCTGTAAACACAGCAGAATGGCAGGGATGAAATGACTGAAATGCAGTTCTGTCTGTAAAATTGACAGACCGTAGCAGCCACGTTTGCTCAGCCATGTCTTTGTCCAAATACATTTTTTCTTTTTCTTTTTAGGGCTTTCAGCACAAAATGCACAAATTGCCAAGGCAGCGCGTTTCACTGTAGTAAGCTTAATATTCCCCTATGTGTTTGGCTTCCAGATAGACGTGTCAGGGCAGCTCCATCTCACTCCGGAGTTGAGTCTGAATTGGTTTTTAGTCGTACAGTATGAGCAGGTAGATCGCATGAGAGCATAGGGCCGAACATAAATCGTGAGCTGTGAACTCGCTCTGTACGACTAAACCCTTTAGTCGTACAGTGTGAGTCGTAGCTGCGTGCAACGACTGAAAAAATCGTACAGTTTAAGCCCGGCTTTAGTAGTATAAACCAATGCAAGTTGAGAAGAGCAGCAAACTAGCACTGCATGACAAAAGGAATCCAGTCCACGATGAGAAGACAGTTGTCAACCTATGTTAGCATACCATCATTTAAGACAAAGACTGGATGATCAGAGAGAATTAGTTTTTATTTACGGTAAAAAAAATAAAACTTACTTTTCTTTTTTCCCTTCAAATGTCCTCTGGCAGCCCTCCTATTTATGTCTCTATTAAGAGTCTAGTCTGTAGACTTAGGCTCAATACCCAAGCAACAAATGCTAGGCCCTAGCTCCTGTTCCCAGCTCCTATTCATTATCCTTAAAGGTCAACAGTAAAAACACCATCATGAGTAGGGAAGGAACTCTTGACTGCTCTGCTGAACTAAGCCTTTCAGATACCACTACAAAACAGAAATGTACAACAACTACAAAATATGCAAGTTACACAAATACATGGAAGGGCTGAAGTGGTTCCTCTGCATGTTTCAACTGAGGATGCCTTCATACTATGATAATATTTGAAATGATTCGAATTCTAACACTTATTTTGGGAACAAACCTAGAGCAGGCTACATGTGCGATGGCTGGATTTAAGTATTCTTTTTTATTTTACTTAAGAATTATTGTACGTCACAGCAACGTTGGATTTATTATAGAAAAATAAATATAGTACAACAAAAAAATACAAGCTGACAAACTCTACATTTACTTAGTTCTATTAATAATTTGCTGATCTCACTCAAGAAGTTGATGGAGCAAGATTCGAGAATCTGTATCATTATGTTTCCATAGCAACATCCAGCCGAGTTATGACTAAGCCAGACATACTATGCAGAAAAAAAGAAAAAGAAAAGAAAACAGAGTAAGAAGATCCCTTAGAAAATATAGAACACACTTAGAAGTAAAACATTGTTATTGACTTATATTGTAAAATAATTACATCCTAAATACTATGATTCAAATATTATATATCTACTGCTTACATAAAGTAGAACCAATGAGAGGCCAGCCTATGACTGTTTATCTGTATGCTGCATGCCAAGCTTTTACAAGGGGTCACATTGTACAATTCTTAATTGCTTTTTCTCTTATTAAATTAATCCAAAAACAGATTTTTTATATTTACTCATTCTTTTAATTTCCTTGACAAACAGAAGAATTCTCAGGGAGACATTTTGACACTTTTTCCCAGCGCTGTAATTGACATAACTGGAACAATCAGAACAGCCACAGAAGAGCAATCATCAAATTTCTATTAGTGGTTTTCTCTAAATCATTTTTTTTTTCTGTGTGTGAGCAGATTCTTGCAGCTCTCAGACATCTTCACTTCAAGAATATTGTTCACTGTGACCTAAAACCTGAAAACGTGCTCCTGGCCTCAGCTGATCCATTCCCACAGGTACCCACACAAACATGCAAAAGGGTCTAATTATATGAATGACGCAGTGACGCCATTCGCAGCACATCTTAGCACTTGGTATGCTGCTGCTAAGATATTTCACACATTTATTATTCACTCATATAATCTCAATTGTATTTCTCTGGCTCCCTTTTCTGCTCACTGAAATTCACTTATTTTTATATCATTTGTTTGTCTCTTTGTCGGTTGTAGGTGAAGCTGTGTGATTTTGGTTTTGCACGCATCATTGGCGAAAAGTCTTTCCGTCGTTCTGTGGTGGGTACACCTGCCTACCTGGCTCCAGAGGTTCTGCTGAACCAGGGCTACAACCGCTCACTGGATATGTGGTCAGTTGGCGTCATCATGTACGTCAGCCTTAGTGGCACCTTCCCCTTCAATGAGGATGAGGATATCAATGACCAGATTCAGAACGCCGCCTTCATGTACCCAGCCAATCCCTGGAACCAGATCTCCAAAGATGGTAAATTAGAAAAAGATTAGACCTGAGGGGGAGGTGTTGATAAACAGTTACATTATTTTAATTAACATTGCACTTTTTTATTTTTACATGTTAAAAACCACTACAAAGAAATTGCAACTCAATTTTGTTGACATTTTTGACACTTTTAAACTCTTATAAACCTAAAGGTAATCACCAAGGTTATATAAGATGGGTGGAACATAAATAACAGAGTCTTATGGTGTAATCTGGGCATTACTCCTCTTGCAATCCAAAAGTTGTACGGTAGCTTTGATTCCAGATTCCTCCTCTCATGTGTCATTGTGCCCCTGGGTATTGCAGGTTCCAACCCAATTCACAAGATGTTTTACATGGGCACACAGAACAAGAAAAAAAAAAACAAAAAAAAAAATATGGTAATATATCTGAAATCAGATTGCAGACCCTTAAAGTACAATTTATATGCCAGCACATAAAAAAGAAGTAGATTTAGAATTGTGTCTTCAGTACAGGGTCCATTACAGAGGCCAGGGCCAGTTCTACAGGGGCACTGGCCCCTGTTGCCTCTTTCTAGCAGCGCCCATGACCCTGGAAAAGGAAATTATTACCAAGTTGCCTATTAATCTGTGTATTGGAGTATGAATGTGTGTGCTTTTGAGAGTGTGATAGGGTGAATATTGTCGAGTGTAAGGCGCTTTGAGTGGCCATTAATAGTAGAGCAGAGCTATATAGATTTAGTCTGCTATATAGATTTATCTGCTTTACTTTTAGACAATTTGTGGGTGTCAGTTATGTGATTGCATTTCTGCTATTAGGACATTGCTCTCAAAGTTCCATGAAAACAAAGCATAAGAAAACAATAAAAAGAATTGTTGCTCAAACAATAAGTAAGCAGCATAAGTTGGCCCTTTTTTACATAAACAACCCGCTAACTCTAGCACCTTAGATGTGCTCAACCAACACCATTGTGGTTATAACTACATTCTTAGCTGCAACAGTATTCTTAAGTCAACAGCTATGTGACACCTCTACATTGGCAGCTTCCTGACTTTTTTATACTCTGCTAAGTAGCACATTGAGTATTGCATGTTAAAAAAAAAAAAAATAAATAAACTCTCATTAGTGTCCCTCCATAGCAATGAAATGCGAAATTGACTTTTTTTGTTGTAGTACAGAATATAATGGCAAAAGGTTTTAATCAAAAAGTTTTGTTTTTTTTTTCCATTTTATACACAATTGTCTGGGCCTAAAGAAATCATACATGATTTTTTTTTTAAACATATCAAATCAAACATATCTTGACTCCAGTCATTTTAAAGGTCCCTGCATTTTCATTTTGTTTTTAAATGTATTATCAGCATCGTCTTATCCTTTTGTTAAAATCATCCCTTTCAGCCAGAATCCTCATAACCACAGAAGAAAATACTCTCAGAATAGATTGTCTTTTATATTTTTCCCTATTGCTAAGTCTGTCATTTTGTTTTGTCCGAGAAATTGAATCTTGGATCTGGAAATGACCTCACAGCAATGTCTTCAAGTTGCAAAAATAATAGCTCTCACCACCATTAGCAAGTTCCTGTAGCATGGTTACCATACTTTAAAGCTACAGTGTGTAATAATTACAGGGATATACAGTCAGAAATGTAATATATTATACATAACTATGTTATTTATCATCATCTACGAGCTCAGCCTCTTAACCTTAATATTTGCGTTGCCTTAGAATTCGTTATTTATAATTACATAGGAGCGGGTCTCGCAGCCATGGAGGCAGACATCTTTGCGCTATGGCAGCGCAGAGCCAACAAACTAGCGATTGCGAGATCGCCCATTACGCTCGAAAGTAACTACGGCAAGTTGAGAGAGATGAACTGAGACGGTACTGAACAATAGATGGCAGTATTATGCCTGAGAATACTATCTGTAAAATTATCTATGTAAACAAACCTCATCACTTGAGAAGGTAGATGATGCGGACGTCGTGGAAGACATTTTGTCCCGTAACGCTCCCGTACTGTTGGGGGGGAGAAGCGGTGGGGGGGAGATGTTCATGTTGCTGCGGTCTGCAGTCTGGACGTTAGATGTCGCTGAAAATTACACACTGTAGCTTTAAAAGAACATGTAAACAAATTAAGGGCTTTACAATTCTTATTGCCCCCACTATTCTATTTAGTTAGAAACTTTATTTCAACATAGAAAATGAATATTAAACATGCTTAAGTGTGCACTATAACAAGTGACCTTAATATTTTTGTGTTGCAGCTATTGACTTGATCAACAACCTGCTGCAAGTCAAGATGAGGAAACGCTACAGCGTTGACAAAAGTCTTAGTCATTCTTATTTACAGGTAAGTTAAAAATAAAATTAATCTGCACACTGACACCCTCATTCTCATCTAACTATATGTAGTGAGGACCATATGTTGAATCCAATTGTCTTCCATTGATTTAAAATCCTATCAAATAGTTGATTTGGTCACAGTATGATCAGAGAGGATCTGAAATGTAGTTTAGTGTATGTCAATGTGTGCTTGTAGTTATTTTTACGATTGCTGGTATTTGTCCATTACCATTGTTGGCACGTTTTTTACTGTTGTTTATATTGTGTAAACTATTATTATTTTTTGGTTTTAATCACAATTGTGACTTTGCTTATTTGTTCTCAATACCGTAAACATTATTATTTTTATTAAACGGCTTTTGCCTATACAATTTTGGGTTCTAAGTTGCAGTTACAAAAAAAACAAAGGAAAAAATGCAGCTGGAAATATATGTTTACTATGAATGAGTGTCAGGGTGGGATTTAATACATTTTTTCTTCTTCCCACTCCCCTAAGGCGTGTTTTTTTTTGTTTTCTTTTTTTTGTTACTTGTTACTATGACTCATAAGTTTAAATTGATGAACTGGCATTCAGTAATGTCTTTCAATGCATTTAATTGCCTGAAATTAATAATAAAATTAAAATAAATTGTCATTTGAATCTTATCTATGCCTCAACCTCAACAGTAACCTTAAAATTAACCATAACAAGTATGATGCCCAGGCAGGAGTAAAAACACAGACACAATCTAAGCTGATTTTCTGATGGTGCATTCTAAACCTGGAAGGAATTTAAACACTAGTTTGCTGCCCTCATACTGAAATTTCATCCTCATGTTTGTTCCTCTTGTTTCAGGACTATCAGACGTGGCTGGATCTACGGGAGCTGGAAACCAAACTGGGTGAGCGCTACATCACCCATGAGAGCGACGACAGCCGTTGGCAAATGTATGCCCAGCAGCACAATCTGCCGTACCCCTCTAACTTTGTTCCTCTTCCTCCTACAACCGCATCTGATGATGAGGATGGAGGGGAGGACTCCGATATGAAAGGCCTAACCGAGAGAGTCAGCATCCTCTGACCGCTGAGGAAGAATATGACTATTTCCTTTTTGAAGAAGATTGTGCAGTTTGTCTGGAATGTGAAAAGACATGGAGCTGAAGTGAAAATATGTTTCAATCAAAAACACTGCCCTCCTGTATAAACCTCAGAACCAGTTCCAGTCAGTTTTACTGCACTAAATTCAATTTCTCTTTCTCCAGCCTGGGAGTCCATAGAACCGCTGACCATTAACCTCCACTTTTATTGGTTGTCTCTCTTCCTTTGAATGGTTGTGATATTTTTATCTGTAAGGCTGCTCACTTTCCTTTCAAATGTCATTTTATTTACCTTCCAAGGTTAATAGAAACTATTAAATTTCCCACATAACTAAAAGGCAGGGGGATCTTATCCACAGCAATGTGCATCAAAGACTGCAGGAAAAGGCCATGCTCCACAAACTGAAATTAAAAATGCTGTTCATTTTCCCTCCATATAGTTAAGTACAAATGAAAACGTCTGCTTAGAATTGCAGAAGTCTAATATACGAGATCAAATGTAGCCTTAGTATTCTCACTATGTCTTTATGAGTCATCGGTTTATAACAAAACAAAAAGAATAAAATTTATTTCTCAAAGCCTGTATCAGGATGAACCCTTAAACGTTTGGAGCATTGATCGACAGAATGTACCATTTACAGTAATTGCCACCACTTGAGACTATAATAGATTATGTAAAATAACTTTTTCTAATTGTAGTCGGTATGTTGGGTTTAAATGCTCGCTCTGAACTGGGCTTTATTACCAGATCGTTTTTCTCTCTCTAATATCCTCTAGATTCCAGCTTATGTCTGAATAGTAGACTGTGTGGTGAAAATTGCTTCTATTATGTTGGAACTAATGCCCAACAATCCCGAAAATAAAGCAGGTCAATGAATAAAGATTATAGCACATCTTAACAGCTGATAGCGTTACTTTGTTAATAATTAGCAGGTTAGTGGGAACATCTTCACCAGAGACTGACATCATCACAACCTTAAATGTCAGTGGGTTTTGTTAGGATCTTACATAACAGACCGACACCTTGTAATGCATAACATTTAAGTGGACAGAAAAAAAAAATTATAGTATTGGACTATTTTTTTAAATAAAGACAACATTTTTCCATATATTTGTATCTAGCTCTTTTACTCAGGTTCCTCTGACTAAAACAAATGGCATTGCCATCAGAGGTCACCTAACTAGTAAACAAAGTGAAGGCTTAAAGTAAACAAACATCACAATGAAGACAAAACCACAACAGAGAAAAAAGGCTTTGAAGAGAACGTCTCTTAATTTACACTTATCTATAGAAAGACAGAAATAGCCCAACTCACAACAAAAAAATATATGTCAGTTTACCCAAAATTACTTAATATATACTTATAATGACAATAAATTTTGTCTAAGTCTAATAGAAGCAGCCATTATCCCCATGGTTACTCTAGAGGAGCTACAGAGATCTACAGTAGTAGAAATTAAGCCACTGGGGAGAGGTAGAGCATCTATTAAAAGATCTATAAAAAGTCCACTCTAAAAACAAAACATTTTGTGGTGTATGGAAGACTAACTTCCCTCCATATTATTGAAAATTAAATTATATAAATTGCAGCTGCTTTGAAGGTGCTTTCTACAAGACAGCCTTCAAATTCTAAAGCCATCTATTACGTTCACTCCTTCCAAATACTGACTATTTTTGATTGGCTATTACATAACATATCACTACAAATACACTTTCAAAGTGATATGAGAAACCAAAAAAGTCGATGGTTGATATTGCAAATCAGTGGAAGTACAAGTAGGGTCAGAATAGCTTAGCAAACTAGAACTAACGTGTATGTAGTTTAACTGTTGACCACCTTCTCAATATGTTGCATGTTTATTTTTGTGAAGTATAGTTATCTTGCTATTTCTTTTGGAGATGCTGTTGTTATGACGGACTGCTATGAATTATACGTAACCTGAACTTTACATAGATGTCAAATATGTGTAGATCCTGTACATGCTGTTTAAATGAGGCTCCTGGTCTTTATATCGAATAAAGCAGACTTGACATGGTTCTGTTTGTTCTAAATATGTTAATAAAGCGTTTACATATCCATGTGTGAGTTAATTGTTAATTGCGAAAAATTGAACACATCTGAATGCATTTTTTCCTCTTTGAGACTTATATAAGAATTACTGTCAATCAGGATTGTCTCTACAGGAACACCAGCTTTGAATAAGACATAAAGGAATGAAGAGATTTCACACTACAGCAATATATTACTTCTCACTTTGCATAATGACAATTTTTTTTTATCTGTGGGAAAAAGTAATTATGCTTGATGTGTGGTGCTAAATGTTACTCATGTACCCAGGCATTAGAGTGTGTGTTTTCAAAGAGACCTGACGTATCTAATTAAAGTTGTGATGGTTTTATGTATTAATGTGCCCACACTAAAAAAGAAAAAAAAAATTAAAGACAGCATTTGTTAGATAAAGGCAGTGTTTAAAGCTTGCAGGCTGAATGGAAGTCAAGAGGATCCAGTGGCTGCAGAGGCGAGGGGAGTGATTTGTTTTCCATTCTCCGATGGCCACACTTCAGCCAATTCTACTAAAATTGTATTCCCCAATACTCTTAATCCTCATTGGCAGTGTGATACCAGAAGATGTTTTTACTTCTCACCTTGTGTCATTTTTTAACTCCTTCAAGTGTCAGTTAGTGTTATACCTGAGCCTCAGGGGGCACTTTTGCAGATATTGTGTTTGCACATTCAAGTGAAAGCAGAGATCTAACTTACTAATCAACATAATTCATAAAGATTAGATCTGCAAGAGGAAATTACAGTTTTTTTTTGGAAGTTGAAACTTCCTAGAATAATGATCAGTCAGTGAAGGACAACTTGCAAACATGCCTGACTTGCAGCCTTAAGACATAAAAGGTCCCTCTTAAAGTAAATTATACTTGCTTTTAGCTGCCATAGCAACTCCTTTTCGAATTTATTGGATGTTGCCATTTAAAAATAAATAATGCTTTTAAAGTAATTTAATAAAAAAATATACTTTGCAGTAGAAATAAACAGGAGTCACTCTGTCCTAGAAAACAATAAGAATAGCAGGACTGTATAATCACAGAATTTCTGTGAGAAAACCGTAAAAGCATACAAGTATAATCAGTATACCTGAGAAAGTAAAGAAGGTGTGAATATAAAGCAGCTGTCAGTGAGATGATGTAAGGAGCTTCTTTTGATAGCAGCTGCTTTAACAGTTATAAAATCTTTGTTCCAGCACATCATGAGTAAATCAATAGAGCATTTAGACTTTGACTTCAGTGAGTTTTTTTCTTTTTAAGAGCAATGTCAGAGAATCAGTGGCACTGTGTCATTGTCTCTCCTCAGTCTGTGCGCAATGCTTGCTGAACACTCGTCACATATTCCTCTAATTCAGCTCCCTGCTTGTCTTTGCCCTGCCTGCAGTAAAAATCTCTGCAGAGAGCACGGATATGGAAAGTCACTCTGATTGATCCAGTTATAGTGACGTGCTGTTACATTACAAGTACCATAACGTTAATACTACTATGTGAACATTTATAAGTTGGATTACTTTTTTAAAGAAAATACTATTGCAGTTACTAACACGATATCAAGTCCTTACCTCCATCAATGGACATTAAATCAGCTTATAGTACCTTTGATAGTGAGGGTGCCAATTCCTGCTTGAATAACAAAACAGGATTAAATCAGAGGCAAACAGAGTTTATACCGTTTTTTTAAAGACATTTCGAAAACTATCCAAGAGTTTTTGTCAGCTCTGTACAATCTGTAATTGAGCACTGATACGTTTAAGCAGCATGGAGGTTCATCCTCAAAAGCATATTTCAAGTCAGATGCAAATCAAATACCCCTCCTTTGTCCTCCTTGGTTGTTGGATTCTTTAGTTGTGTATGGGCTGTTTGTTTGTTTAATTTGTTTGTTTGATTTCATGTGAATCATGATGAGTGTGCTTATGTAACTTCTTTGGAATTAGCTCCATGAGATGCATGGAGGCTGAAACTGCAAACCTCCTGCTTTGTTTAGTGATTACCCCACCCCTTCTAACAAGGTTTTCTGTTATAATTTCAACAAACATACAAATAAAAAAACTAACACTGATGGAGGGAAGGTGTGCTAAAGGAAGATTTCTTTTCCAATTCTTTTTCCGGAAAAGAGATCACTCAGAAGAAACTCTTTAAATAACACTTCATAACGTATATGTAGTAAATAACCATGAGACATGACAACAGATTTTGATAGAAATTGTTTTCTTACTCAGATCAGAGAAGCTGCTTAGGGTTACAGAAGCCAGCTGCTTACCAAACGGGCTCACTTCTCGGGAAGTGGCCTCGACAAACAGTTAAAGAAGCATTTTATACACCTCCAGTCTGCCACATCATCACATCATTATATCATACACGTTTCGAGATGAGGATACATCCATGGCTCCCCATATAACAATATTACACTTTGTTCTTCGCTGAAGAGCACCGCTCTCATTCCATTCCCAATTCCTCAGATTATAACTGTATACCCGGACAGAGGAATTGTCCTAATAAGATAAACTACTGGGGAAAACATCAGTTCTGAGACGCAACAGGCAGCTAATATTAGGGTGTAATAAACTCACACATCATCAGTGATAATTATTCTAACAGTTGCAATGTGTACATGTACAGTATGAGTATACAATCGTGTAAAATGTAACAAATAAAAAAAAAAACTGTAATATATTAAGAAATAGAAAAATAATCACAACAATATAAAAACAACCAATCTTTTTTTTAGGACTGTTTATAATATATATATTTATTTTTACTCCATCATTTGAGCATATAGGGCCACTCTTAGCCTTCAGCTAGGGATGCAATTAAAAGAGGAAGGAAACATTGTCAACCTGGAACTAAGATGCTGCCCTGAGGCGACACATTTGATAAGACTCGCTAACCTGTTTATCCCACTTGCTACACCCACATCAGTCTTGTTGTTCCTCTTTCAAAGATGAAATTGTGCATTCTAACTGGACAGATGTAATATAACTGCAGCATGGTTCTCTTGTGCTGAAATGCTTGTTTTGGTTTGGCTGTGCTCTTGGTATTTCTTGCATAATATTTACAATACTGTGAGAATTCAGATGGCAGGCAAGGATAGGATTTTTAGGGTTTCTCGATATTCCATTGTTGCCAACAGGATTATGTAAACAGCTTTGCAATAAGTTTATTGTAGGTGTATGACTGTTCTCTTTGTATGACGCATTGTGTCATAACAAATGTTATTTTGTTGATTGTTGCAGCTGGAGACAGTTAAAAAACAAAAGGCTTTAATCAATCTCTTGAACAATCTGACTTGTTCTAAAATCTCTTTTTCACTGAATGAGCCACAAACATAAAACTCATTTAGTACAAAAGCAGGAGATAGAATACCATCATAGAAAAACACATTAGACTATATTTGTTGAAGAAATGAAATAGAACAAATGTGATCCCATTCAAACTGTATAATGTTGCATAACACACACTATGGTATATTTGAAATTCAAACAGCATTTTCAAAACAGTATACAAGCATCATGCATGAGGATGAATATAAATTGCAAAGACACATTTGGAGAAGCAGTTTTGAGTGCAAGATTCTCTCTGCACACAGAACCTCTTGATAAATAATGAGAAAAATTCTCAGATTCAGACTTGTCCCATTTGGAAGTGGCCATTCATATACAGTGCTTTGATGGTTGTCTTGCCTAGCAGATTATTTTTTGTTTTGTTTTTTCAGTTAAAGGTATAGACCACAATCTTTTATTTTTTGGTAGATAATCTAAATAAGTGGTCCTCCTAATGTCAATCATTCTGGTCATATGTTTACCTAAGGCCGTCCTATGTGCAAGTCCCGGTTAGCTATCTTTTTCTGCGCATGCACATTTTCAGGTGTATATGTGTGGTGAGCTACGGTTTCAGACAGTAATGGAAGCTCACCTGTCTCACAGCAGTTCTTTGAAAATGGCCAAGAGTCTATGAAAAAAGAGAAAAAGTGTCAAGAAGTGTATGAGAAGAAGAGAAAGGCCTCAGAAGAGGCAGATGTATCCATAAATGCTTGGTGTTGAGATCTCTCCTCAAAAGCATTATGGGATATGGTCGTATCGTCACAGCGTCCCGCTGTTGCGAGTAATGAAGATGGCACAGACACTGCGCAGTAAAGGAGTTATGTGACCAACGGGGAGCAAAAAGAAGGGATCATCTGTCCGAACGTTCAGTTAACTGAGTTTGCCATAAAGTACAGTATGTAGTCCCCGCAATATATAGTGATTTTGCGATTTAGGGGACAGAGCGGACATTTAGACACAGTAAGCTTGTATGAGCTATGAGAATAGGAACTTTTAGACAGAGTGTGCATGTGGAGAAATGGACTTGTGCATGCTCTCACACGTATTTAATAGGCGTTCCCTCTTGGGAGCGGGTACAGGGTTGTGCATGTGCATTTTGTTTTTAAAGTGGAGAGGTCGGGATGGATCTTTTAGAAAATTCACGAAAAATCCTCCACAACACCTCTAAATGTTTCAGACGTGGTTATTTTTATTTTTTTCTTTCTTTTTTCATTTTTCACAGGTGTCTAGAACAGCCTGGCACTAACAATGATATAATATAATTTATAATTTAAATATTATAAGTAATGTATTCTTAAAAACTGATGGTTCCACCCTGCAAGTAAGAATTACAATGGTGCTCATTTTATATTATTATGTGCATGTTTTACATCAGATATAATGGGATACAGGCCTTCATGACTCTTTGTGTTTCATGCAATAGCTTATCCAGAAGTTTAGAGATTCAACAAAATATTTGTGGTATAATTAATCTGAATATCTCATGCATACCATTTTTTTCAGACTTATTTTATCAAGAATGCATGTTGCTATTAAATGAGCAAGTGAGGCCTTCAGTCCTCCAGATGTTGTTCTGAATTTTTGTTTTGTTTTGTGACCTCCTGGATAAAATGTTGGTGCTCCCTTGGACTAATTCTGGTTGGCTGACCACTCCTGGGAAGATTCACAACTTTCTGTGTTATATCTATTTGTACTTTCTCAACTCCTCTGTAGCCTACTTTTCTGGAGTCC